CAGCAGCAGCAAAGCAGCAGCAGCAAAGCAGCAGCAGCAAAGCAGCAACAGCAAAGCAGCGGCAGCAAAGCAGCAGCAGCAGCAGCAGCAGCAAAGCAGCAGCAAAGCAGCAGCAAAGCAGCAGCAAAGCAGCAGCAGCAGCAGCAAAGGCAGCAGCAGCAAAGGCAGCAGCAGCAAAGGCAGCAGCAGCAAAGGCAGCAGCAGCAAAGGCAGCAGCAGCAGCAGTGTTGCGTTGCAACAAGTGCAGCAACCCTGAACCGCATGAATGGCATCAACCGTACCATGACACGAGTTGGGGCAGCGTGACAATAGTATAGTTAATATAAGATGCACAAAGGGAAAACTCAACTACTGCCATGCTTCCACCAAACATCACCAAACTCTTCATCACCCGCTTCCCCCACCGAACTCTTCGCTCATGCCCCAACACGTCAGCAGCAACCAGGAAGCAGCCAAAGGCAATCAACAGCACCAAGCATGCAAGCAGCAAGAGACCAAGCAGCAGCAGGTACTGAGGAGAAGGGTGGAGTTGAACCCGCGGCGGGGGGGTTAAAGCCTGATAAATCAGGTATCTGCACTCAGGTCCTCGGCTCCCCAGCTAGCTACAGCTAGCTTTCGTGACTTGGGGTCCTCCAGTGAAATGGAAACAACCGGAAACTGCAAATATTATGTTGCGATTATGGCTGATGAACTTGGCTCTTTACTCTCGGGCATTCCAGTTGGAGTTGGACCTTCGTGTAGGATCTTGCTGAAGAAAGTGGTAATGTTGACCTATGATTAATCCAATGTCGACCTATGAAAGTAGTAATCCGCCGGCCCTGGGGCACGGCGTGTTTTGGGTAGTTGGTTTTTTGTTAGTTCTTTGTTGAGCTATGTCTTGTCTGTTTTAGTGCTCCCCCGGGCGGATTTTTGAACGGTCTAACCTGACCCCCCCCCCCCCCCCCCCTAAGTTGGCTTTCTCGCTGCGGCCAAAAGGGCCGGCGGAACAATCCGCAGGTGTAAATAAAGCTAAGCAAACCCCTAAAACCAATTAGTAAAATACACCTGAATATACCTGAATTAAGCTAAATGTTGTTTTTGCCCCTGGACCTAGATATCCCAGCCTTTAAGCAAAAGTCTTGAAAAAGACTCTTGTCCTTTAGCTTTAGTTTGGTTTGTGCCTTTCAATTCTTTATTCATTACTGTATATAACGGGTTCCTTCTTTGGATTCGTTCTTGCATCCTTGCCTCTTAGTTTTATCACTTGGACTCACCAAACCCCAAACCTTCTGATCAAAATTATATATTATACAGTATATAAACTCCGTATTCCAAACCCACCCTGAATAAAGTCTACCCTAAATAAAGATAAAGGTTCTTGCTGGCAGAAAAAATGTCCATATAGTATATGAGTCCCGCTGAGGTGATGGATGTCTTCCTTTTAATATGGATTCCTTTCCGTAGATTCCTTTCTTCTATAGGTTCCTTTCTTCCATAGTAAGGCCAATACTACCAATACTAAAGCGCTGGTTAAGACTATTTGAGGTCACTCATGAACGGGAGCCTATTTTTCAATCAGAGGTGGACATTAATACATATAATAAATAGGTAAACAAACAAGTAAATAATAGATAAACACATAGATGAACAAACACTTAAATAGCCGAGCATCATCATCATAAGCTGGACTGTCACCGGCACCAAGGCCACTAGTCCAGGTGAGTCCAGTCTGTTGGTCAACGTGATGGATCCGAAGCCTCTGAACATGGAGCATGCAGAATCATGCAGCTGTCACATAATCAAAGAAACGATGTATGTAAGTAAGTGGAAGTTCTGACCACGTGCTCGGATGCCTGGGTGGACGATTGGCCTGCTGAGCGTTGAGTACCAGCAAGCCAGAACAGCCAAAAAACCATCCCAGAATCACAGCCCAAAGCGGCATCGATCCGCTTGCCGCGCTTTGGCTGTTGCTTGATGTTCTTTGTATGTTTTAGTGCATCCAGGTTGTGCAGCTTCAATCAAGGAACACTTTGCTTTGAAGTGCAGTGCTATGATGTGACTCTAGACTTGCTTCGTTTGATGCAAGCCTTGGCATTGTGCAGTTTATATCTATTGCCGAGCCATTGGCTAAACAACACCACACAATGTCAAGACATCATCAAGCACTGCATGCTCATGAATGGCCTCCGGGCAATGAAACCATCTGTCAAATGACATGACTCATGATGAATCACTGATGCCCTGATGGAATAAACGCATCTTGAGGCCCCAACACTGCATCTGGAAGATAGCCATCATTGTTAGTGGAAACACTGACCGCCGGCACAAGGGAAGAGAGGCGATGCCTGAAGCACAATAGACATGCATCCTATTATTAGTAGAAAATGATGGTTAGTAAAAGCTGTTCTCTAAAATACGGTGATTGTTTACCGACTGTTACAGGTAAGGGGACAAACGCAAGACTCAAACATCAACAAACTGTCTTTCTCTAAGACAATCATCTTGGGCACCAAAAGCTGGGCTATTGTGAATAAATACAAGAAGTGGACAACGTTATGAAAACATGCCAGAAATCCAAGTTCTGAGCAGATGCCATCAAGTCACCTTGGAACAAGAGCCACTGGTTTTGGCGGTGTGACCTCAGAAGCAGCATCCACCCACCAACCAGACTAAGCCACTATGCTACGAAGAATATTCACACACCGTTTAACTTTGCATACTATATATGCCATGTGTGTGTGTGCTGCGACTGCACAATTGACAACCGTCAACAGTTATCGGAACAGCACTCCCAAGCTTCCACACAAAACCATCCAGCTGTGCCATGGCGACTAGAAATTGTTCACGGGTTTTAACAGTTCAACACCGCAACAATTCAATGCAAAGAACTTCTGAAGCAGCCTTTTGTAAACACATCCGTGCCTAAACAGGGGGAAGGACTGTCAATTAAAGAGCTAAGCTTTTGAGCGAGCCAAGTCCAGTAGGAAACAACATGAAAAAAAACAGTGTGAGTTGGCAGCAGCAGTCCCAAACCAAGCCTTTTTGTTTTGCAATCCCACTATATATTTGGGCCCATGCTCTTCCAACTTGCCGCAGCGCCCGTACAGAGACTTGATATGACTCGCAAAAGGTCAACTTTAAACATATTTTTTTTGACCGGAGAGCAGCGGGGTGAAACGGCTCTGCCCAGCGTGAATCCACATCTTGAGCAGTGACATGCTTGAGGTCAGAAAGCACATCTGTTGCATCATGCCAACCTCTGCAATCGACCACATGCTTACAATACTTACATTATCACCTGTGCTGGGAGATGTTGTAAGATGTTGTAAACATTTGTAAACTCTCCTTCACTTGAACTTCGGTCGATGAACACGTCCACTGTTGCACTCCCAGCTCGAAACGGTGAGACAACGTAGCGAAAGTGGACATATGCACTCCAGTTGCCTGCTCTTTTTAACTTAATTACTGTACTCACCCACAAACAAGGAGTGGGATGATGATACATTCCAACTGTATTTTGTTGAATGCATGCTGTCACGGACAAACATGTTCCCGTCTGGGGTCGGGAAAAAATGCCATCTGGTGCTCTCAGATCACACCGCCGTGGGATTTGATGAACCTCGGTGCTTGAGACCGGTCTGCCAGCTTTGACAAAACTGTTCAAAGTGATTCAAAGTGCAGAAGGCTTGCTCAGAATGTACTCCTTGCTGCCAGCAAAAATTATGAAAACCCTCCAAGGACTTACCTTTGAGGTAAGAAATGCTCACGTGCACGCATCATAGCATTCTTTCAGTCCAATGGAGTGCAGTTGCCATTTGGGCCCGGGCAACGTTGCAATCCAAGTCTTGTCCCAGGACTATAGGAACGTTAAGGGGAGGGAAACCCAATGTAGCCTGTGGAGTGCGGTGGCCCCCACGCGGCTCTTCTACGTACTCGGTTTGCAAAGGCAGATTGTCTTTACAGCAAGGCAAAGATAGTCAGATAGTCTTACAATGTCTTACAGTTGCTTCGGGAGGACCCGGCTAGATCCTGAAAATGGTGCTCCTTTGCGGGTGCCCTTTTTTCTTCCCCACAGCCCAAAACATTGACAAAGCGATCAACAAGGGCACCACCACACATAGCCTTTTCGGCCCTTCGCTGATACCACGCATTGCCTTCTGGGGGAAGTCTTTATGGTGGTGACACGCTTGCCTGCAGGCTGCCGTCTTTACAGCTGAGCAAAAATCGTCTTTCGACATCTTAAAGCCACGCGCCTGCACCGCTCCATGCACACAACTGGACATCCTGCTGTCCACTTGAATGGTGCCATGGCCACTTGGTGATGCAAAAAATGCACTGTTGAACCAAGGCCCTTATAGAGGTGCATGTTGAACCACCCACACCATCCCCCCCCCCGCACACCCCGAATGCTCGCTTCGTTCGCCCATCAAGCACTTCAGCCTAGCCTATCGGCGGGCTTCCGTAATAATATAGACAATTTCATTCAGTAGTATAATATCTTTGCACATTCGGCATGAACACGCTTGCATTTGAGTCTGTGAGTGTGGGGATTCTGCAATGTTCATGGCAGAAATGCGGGGACTCAGACCGATAAGGGCCGTACTGTGACATTTGGCTATGCCGTTTCTTCAGTTGTGTGATCAGCTCCTGCAATGACAACTGGCTCACACAGGCTAAACGAATCATATCTCGCATCCAATGGTTCAATGTGTGTAAGAAAAGCTTCATCCAATCTGCACACAAGGCTGGCTCCTTGAGCTCTTTGATCCTTTCCGCTCTGTCCTCGCAGCAGCAATAAAAACAATAAAGTACATACAAGAAGTGAACATGCGTGTTCGTGAAAATGCTGGAACCAAAGGTTGCTCAATCCTTACAGCACACCGATTCAATTAACAAGCTGTGCCCACAACCATCGTGAAACATCCCCTAATGTAGACTGTTGATTAATTTAAAAAAGTTGGAATGGTTTTACATGTCCATAAAGGAGGGAATAGAAATCAACAGTCTACATTATGTGATGCTTGGGAGGACCAGCATCACACCTTTTTGCTTTCATATCCTTTCTTTTTCGTCTGGGGCGCTGTTCGGAGCGATTGAGGCTCTCTTTGCAGTATATAATTCCGAAAGCGCTGTTGCCGAGACGAAACCTCTTCCGCGAGATGAGCGCAGCCCTTCCATGGAGTGAGCAAGAGCCTTTGCTTGCCGGCGTCCACACCAGAAATCCAAACATCGATCATCTGCCCCAAATCAATCGTTTTCCGCATGAAAGCACCTGAACCCAAAAGGCGACCAGGAATTTGGCCACATGTCTCTGCTCCAATATCCACAAATGCTTCTCCGTCTGGATTGATTCTTGTCACGATGCCCTCGCATCCTTGACCGACATACAGCATGTATAAAGGGACCGCAGGTTCCCGTACCTGGGTGACCTCCCGTTCTTCTCCATCTAAGAAACGGACCTTGCTGCGACCGCCCGATACTTCGATCACCTCGCATTCACGCCAGTCATAGTCATGAAAAGCTTCCATGAACTGCCCCTCCCTTTGGGGCTGCGCTGGTCGAATCTGGCAGAATGGCACAACCTCGTTCTCATCACCTTGACTGATAACGAAGCACTAAATCATTGTACACAACTGCCGTCCTTTGTGCTAAACTTGCTGAACATTATCATTTGACAAACTCAACCTGTTATATTCTCAAGGAAACTCTTTCCTACATTCCTACATACGACAGACTATAAACATCTTGCCAAACCAAAGTCTCTTCACTCCGATATAAAATAAGAATCTAGTAAATATCTGATGGTCAACAGCTAACCCAATCTCAGGAAAACAAACATTGTAAGTACCAAGAAACAGTCGTCCTTGAAGTCCACCACGCATGTCTTAAGCTGCCTATCCACCTGTCGGACATGTCCTGGACGCCAAAGCCCATCACAATATGCTTCCACGAGTGTGTCTTCATACACCTTTGTTCATCTCATTTCATTGGTTCAGGATAATTAGTTCACCAATATATAATAATATATACATACAACCCAAACGACTTTGTCAAAACCACTGAAAATGTCAGCCAAGGTACGACTCGGTCTTTTGGCCTGCGGACCCTGCAGGCGACCTCCACAGATTCCTCTACGTCTCCTCCGTCGTGATACTTCACAGTGCATCGATCACCATGAACCTTACAACATCTTGGAACAGCAGCATTCAGGAATAAGCAGAAAATTCAAAAGCGATGATTCTCGAACGTTTAAATGTTTAAATTTATATTCAACTTGTATTGTCAGGAAATGTGTGCGTGTGTGTGTGTCATTGTCAGTACGACCAAACGATGTCATTTTTGAGGCAATGCTTTGGCATGCTTCGGCCGAAAAGCGTCAAGCACATCACAAAGCCACCACACTTCGTCCCAGTTCACCTCAACAATCTCTCTGGGTTCCGGCCAGCAGGGCCCGTTGCCTCAAACTCCCCGATCGATCACACACAACACCTTGAGCTACTCTGCACTCTCCTACTTAGAGTGCAGCAAACTATGAGGGTTTGACGGAAACAAATATATATATATATATACATATATATTATCAAACAAATATGAATTGAATACACATCATACAACAAGTGTCCGCACAAAGCACGATAGTGTAATAGTCATCAGTCATACAAGTATGTTTTGTATTAATTCATCATATTTCATTCTGTGTCTGTACGAAAGGGGGATTGTGTTGCATACGCAAAACATTGTTGCCAATGCGGCTCAAGCGTCGCTTTTGCTCGGCTTGCTGCTTTGTACAGCTTGCATCCAAGCGTGATCGGGCACTGCGACGACTTCCAGCCACTAAGGCAGCGGCAAGGCTCACAATAGAAGCCACGTGTGTCTCAGGTCGGTATGGAGTGAGACTCCGTAGCCAAAGTGGGCAAGGGCAAATTCTTCGTGAATGGTTTA